TGATACAAGTCTTATGGGGAAGAAGTGGATTCAGACCTTTCTTAAGGATATTTATATGTGTGAATATAATGAACCTAACTGGAATTGGAATTCAGTTTTTTGATTAACAATTCCAAGCCATTATCCATTATGCCACCTGCACATCCAAGTTTACAGCACCTAGTATTCCCAAAAGTTACCCATTTAAATACAGACTAGGCTCAATGTTACTTAACTACAATGATCATAATGAAAGCAATGTTTCAATGTGATATAGCCGTAAGCCTATCAAGTTTTATGGCAATAATTAATATTAGTACTGTTGGATACAGTTTAATATTAAAGTATATGACTAAAAGTGGTGAGGTCTTAGGTCTTATTTAGACCCTTAAAACCACATATATATATATATATATATATATATATATATATATATATATATGTGTGTGTGTGTGTGTGTGTGTGTGTGTGTGTGTGTGTTCTGATTCAACATGTTTCAAGGAAGGTGTTGGAGATATGTTCTTTAAACATCAATGGTCACCACTCTTGCTATCTGAGTATTGCACTTCCAAACGTTTAACCACAACACATCTTTTAAATAAAAGATATAAAAGGTTATTTTCTAGAGGAAAAGTAAAAGCAAAATGTCAGCTGAAATAACATTCTATATTCTTTTCGAAAATATACAATATAATAAAATGGTCAGTTTTCCTGGCAGTGAAGTTTGTTTTATAAAGTAATTAAGTGTTCTTATGGCAGTGTGAAATGTGTGAATAGCCAGCCAGCCTAATATGTTTGCGAGTTTGTAGACAATGGCTTAGTAGGCAGTTGCTGGCTTCTATTGTGTGCATTGACAAGGTCATCGTCAGTGGTATCTTAGTCATGTCGTATCTTCCATTGTGTGCATGCACACACATCTAGATTAAACTGCCCTCCAAAAATGATGTGAGCTGCAAGATGTAGTAGGCTTTTATTCTTGTATTCATAAAGGAATTCAATATTTAATTTCATATAAAGATTTGAAATTTTTTAATACAAGGTTTTCATAATGAAAATAATTTCACAATGGTTCATGAAAATCTTTTTCTCAAATTTGCAGGTGTGGTGAAAAGTTATTATTGTTATTTTCTAAATAGTCTAAAAATAATGTGGTAGATCTACAAATACTTCCACAAGTATTTTGGTAATATTTTCCCTTGTAATTATTATTTATCCAACAGACCTTCTGATGGAATTTTACTGGTTGAAAAATATATATATAGGATTTAATTCTATAAAGGTTTTAATAAATAATTTATTCCTGTACTCTTTATATGAGCAACGATATTTGCAAATTAAGTCATGTGTAAGAGTTAAAATAAAATGTAGCAGTGGTACATAAATGCATTTTATTTAATGATGGACGATTTTTTTTAGATTTTTATTAAATTATTTCTTTTATATAAAAACACAAATATAAAAAAAAGAACTTTTAACAAAAAATATTAAACAAGTTTCTATTTACAGACATAAATGCTATATTATTCAATTATGTTTTTTAAATAACCAGTAGCAAAAAATTAAATGAAAAGATTAAAAGAATACACAGGCAATTATTTTATTTAATAAAAGGCTTACTTGTTTTAAAATTACAAATATTTTCCCATGAAAGTTAATAGGCTCACCTTACAAAATTAATTTTTTTTTTAATTTTTATTAAAACAACATTAAATGTAAAAATAAATATTAAAAGAAATTTAAAATTTAAAATAAAAAAAAGAAAATGTTTTAATTTACAATATTTTCTATTATAAAAAGAGTACAGAAATAAATTATTTGGGCATTTTTAACATACTCTTCCACATCTCTCAAATAACCTGGCCACCATTCTTGCAACTTTAACCTCATTTGTGTAGCTAATATACCTCCGTATATCATCATGCACAGCTTTAATTACTTGTTTTCTTGGAGACTGTGGAGGTATTATATCTCCATTACATGTAATTCCTTTTTCTATTGCCATTTTGAGTCTTGACTCTTTATAACATGTCTCAGCTATAGAGCAATTATTCCATGTATTTCTCTTTATTCTATCCACAATTCTATTCAACACTAGATCCTGCCTAGTTCCCAACCTAAGCTGATATAGGGGTAATACATCCATTTCTATCCAGTGCAAAAACCCCTTCTCTAATATTTTCACTTGCTTCAACATTTTCAAACACAAAATTTAACTGAGATATTGACATCCACATGTGGAATGGTATTTCCTTTAATATTTACAATGTCAAAGTCAATTGGCATAAGCTTAATCACCCATTTTAATATCCTGGCAGATGTAAGCTTTGGCAACTCTCTTCTGGGGTTGAATACAAATTCCAAAGGCTTATGATCAGATTTTAATAGACATTTCCTCCCCACCAAAGTAAAGTCACTGGCATCAGTAGTTAATATCAATTTTTTTCGCTGGGTCGAAGATTTTAACAACTGTTTTTTTTTATGAGTGCCTTTTTAATTTCTTGAAAGTGATCTGTCTTTTTTCGATTGAAACTCATTCTTCATGTTCCTTATTTTGTTAAATGATTCCACAAGGTCACTATATTGCAATAGATATCTGTTATAAAATTGGTTAATCCTAAAAAAAGATCTAACTCTTTTTTTATTTCCAGGTGCAGCTATCTCTGATATCTTATTAATGAGTTTCTCATCTGGCAATATACAATCTTTCGACATTTGATATCTTAGGTACAAAATTTTTTCACAATTAAACTCGCATTTATCACAATATCATATCTGCACAATTTAATTTTATTGTGATTGTCATGCACATACTATTTAATTTTCTCAAAACTTGCTTCATTTTACTTTTGAGCTTTTCTTTACTGCATGCACCAATGCCAATGCATCCTGATATACAATTATATTTTTATTCCCCTCTAAAATTTTTTCAATGGCTTTCTAGAAAATGTGACTTGACATTTTTACTCCAAGCAGCAGATGAATCCATCTTAGTAATCCAATAGGGGCGTTCATTATGGTGACTTCTTGAAACTTGCTATCAATTTTTATCTGATTATATGCTGACTTAAAAGGTCAATTTTAGCAAAGTATTTCATACCAACAAACTTCTGACACAGTTTCAATTTTTGGCAACAGGAATGATGGTGATTCACATTCACCTTATAATTGTCACAAATTGGGTTTGTGTATCAACACAATTGCTTCTACCTTGGCTGACTTTTCCTAATATCCTTTGTTCCACCATTTTGTTTAGTTTAGCAACCACCAAGGGTAGTATGTGAACAGGAACTTTTCGGGCTTGAAAATACATATGTTGACTGCTTTCTTTAAGTCGCATACTTGTCTCATATCTCCTTAATAATCCAATATCCAGTTCTACAGACTCCGTGGAATTTACCAGCTTCGATGTATCCACTCTTAACACATTAATTCCTAAAAGACCAAGGCTCTTGATGTTTGCCAACACTATGATGGGTATTATCTCAAATTTATTTTTTGTCTCATACATTCAAAGTACCCTAAAATTTTGATGATTGACCCATTGAACTGATTCAATTGGAGATTATTTTTCTTTAACTTTGGTCTACCATTCTTTCCCCAAAATTCCTTGGTATCAACGTAACATCACTTCCAGTATCCACCTGCATGAGTAACATTACTCTGTTCAACTTCACCATTTCCCTACTTTTATCCTGTGTTTTTATCTCAAATACTTCTATACTTTCAATCGGAGGATCTATATTTTTCACTTTTTCCATTTGCTTTTCATATATGCTTACCGTCTGGAAATGATTCCTCTTTTTACACTTGAAACACCATTTCCCAAAGGCTGGACACCTATTTTTACTCTTTTCATGTTTCTTATGGCAATATCTGCATACAAGTAAGCTTTTAGTAGCACTGTAAGCCTCCATGCTGCCTTCGGAGACATTTAATTTTTTAATCAATTACAATTGACATAAGAACTCCACATATGCTTCCAGATTCATATTATGAGCTTGAAGCCACTCTAGAATTTTACACATATACAAGATGCCAAACATTCCTTCAAACAGTCTTAGCAAAATTAAGTAGTCTTCAATAGACATCTGTTCCAAACCCATCCTTTCAAACTCACAATATCTCAATGCTTCTTTCAGTTGCTATACATATTGCATAATAATTTTGTCCAGTTTCTGTCTACTTTCAAGAAATTTAATTCTTTCCGCTATAAGCAATCTTTTTATTGGATGTACATCTGTTTTTATGATGGCTGCAATTTCTTCATACGATAAATCTTCCAACACTTTGGGATAGACCATGATGGAGATTTTTTTTTATGGCCTCACACCCAGCTGAGGCCCAAAACAAATCCATAACTTCATTTTCTCCTCTACTAGCCATGGTGTCCTTTAATTTCTTTACTCTTGCAAATGCTGCAAAAGTCCTAACCCAGGTTTCTACAAACTCAGGATTCTCAATTGTGGTTAAGTAACCAATTGGCAATGCCATATTGTTATGATAGATATTCTCTCTAACAGATGTAGTCTTGTAAAGAGAAGATAACTCTCCCATAAGTATAGCAGTACTGCCTTTTATACAAAACCTAATTTACATATAACTACATTTAGAAGAATAGAGTTGAAGTAGACTTTAGAAGCAACCAGAAACCTAATCCTAAACAGGAAACAAGGAATAAACCTTACTCCTGTTCAAAAAAATTTGGGAGGAGTGTGAACAAGATGATAGACAAACATATCTACTCTTATTATGGTTTTAGAGTTTAAGCCAGACATACATATAAACAAGATTTACAAAATGTTAACGATTCTTTTCTTATTATATTTATCTAAACAGTGACAAAAATTAAATTGTAATGAAATATTGTTATAATAAATTAAATAACATCAGTTTTAAATATAAATATTATTATTATTAATATTGTTAATCATGAATTTGTACATTATTGGTGTTATTTTGATATAATATACAAGCAATGTCGGGTAGTAATAAATAAGGAGTAATAGATAATGTCTCCTTACTTGGTATATTTGCCTTTTACTGGGACATTCCATTCGAATTACTGCTTGATTGTCAACCAATTCTAAAGCAGGATGTAATTGAATTTCATAAACAAGCTGGAGGCTGGAAAACAGATATTATACAGATAAATATAATCAAATTGTGAATAATTTGAATGTAATAATGAAAGAAATTAACTACAGGAAATAAGTGATTACAAGCAAATTTTGAAAGGAACATATTTAATAGAATATGAGTGTCCCTCGCTTCCTACATATAATCCAGTTTTTGAAAATTTTAATCATATCAATAACTAATTTGAAGTAACATATAATTCTGATCACTATCTCACTCACAATTCTCCTATTTTTATTTCATCCTTTCTTGCTTCATAATATCTTCTGTGATGTATGAAGTCTAAGCAAAAATATTGGGACTGTTGCTATGGCAATGGAGCTAAAGTGAAGTCACTTGGCACAAACTGACCTAGAACTCTGCTGTGTATACACACTAAGTTATAACATTCTCACTCACTTCTGTTGTTTATAGCAGTGCTCGGAAGGAAAGTGTATAGAGTGTGGTCAACTCAACACTCTACATAGAGTTTCCATCAGTGAACACATGGTTTGTGCAACAGTTTTTGACCAAAGCACAACAATCCCCAGGTTCAACAGCAACCAGATCTTTCATCGAAAGGACGTCAAGAAATCCAAGAGAATGTGACAAGGCAGATGCTCACTATCTCTAGAAATGAGTTCCAGGAATGCTTCTATCAATGGAAAAAATGCTTGATAAAAGTGTGTGGCTTTAGAAGGGAACTACTACTTCAAAGGAGATTAACTGCCAAATTGATATGTGTTGCAGTTTTCTTTTTATAGCACCAGTCTCCCTGTTACCTTTTGATCAGACATTGTATATTAAATGCATATATAAAATATATAATGTGGATTAAGTAACACTGGTATTATCTATACAATATCAGCTAAAAGTGATGATACAATTTCAATAAAACAGGCCAAACAATAGACTTATTTTCTGTTAAAGTTTCTCTCAGAGCTGTGAACTTGGAGATGCCCAAAAAAACCAAACTAGATATATACAAGAATAAATCAATAAATTTGTAGCCAAATATTAACCTGAAGTGTTCACTGTATAATGTTTAGTCTGCATTATTAATATTCACTCCTAAATTATATGCAATGACAAAGGAGATTATGCTTTAAAACAAAAATAAATGCTTTTTTTATCATCAGGTTACAGACCATACAATGAAGATTTCAGATTGAAATATACTTAAGAACTATATGTCAAGTCATGGACTTACTAATCCATACTTATGCTTTATTTACTGAAAAAATGGTTGAGTTATACTCACGCAGATAGCAATTCATCTGATACTGAAAAGAAAAAAAATTCCAGTAATTTTTATGACAGGTGCTAGATATTTGGTGGCAATAAAAGAAAAAGTGTAATTTAAGTAAACTTTGGATAAGAATTGTGAAGTTTAGGCTGTTGTTTTGCATATCTCAAAGGCATTTGACAGGGTTTGCCATACAGGTCATCTTCACAAGTTAAAAGTTTATGTTATTTCTGAATGGATTTTTGATTGGATTCAATCTCTCTTATCAAATTGCAAAATGAAAGTTGTCTTGAGCAGCTACTCTTCTAGATCATTTTGCATTAATGCAAATGTATCCCAGGGCTCTATTTTTGGACCTGCATTCTTCCTAATTTTAATCAACAACATTCCTGATGTCATCATTTCTTAACTTGGTATCTATGCTGATGACAAAATTATTTATTCCTGTCTTAATGGTAAATCGGATCGGTTAGATACAGTCAAATTGACAGCTGATCTCAAAAATGACCTACAAACTATTGTTAACTGGGGCAAGAAATGGCTTGTTGATTTTAACACCTCCAAAACAAACATTCTCTCTTTTACTCATGACAGAAGCATTTTTATCTTCCCTCAGTATGGCTGATGCTAACCTCCAGGACTCATTGCAACTTCCTGGGCTAACATTTTCCACTGACATGAAGTAGAAAGATTTTATTGAACCAACTGCTAGGTCTGCTACTGTTTATAATTTTTTTTATTTATAGATGGTTGTTTTTGTTAAAGTGCTTTAAGGAATATAAGTCTGTTTTTGCTATTTGATTTTGCTAGTATTTTGGCATTGTTCGTGAGTAGCTATCCAATGTTATGATTCTCATGTTGCTTACTGATATGTTGTCTGATGGCACGCTGGTTCAATAGGTGACAGATGAGCCTATGATAGCGTGATTGTGGTATATCCTATGTAAGACAGTTTGTGTTTTTCACTTACAGAGAAACATTTTCCAAATGGGCAAGTATATTCATACACAACATTGGTCTTATATAGGGGATTGGAAGTCAGGGATATATTATTTTTAATAGGTTAATAGTTTTGATTTTTTGTAGTAAATAATAAATCTAATGTATTTGAAGTTATCAACTGGCTATCTGTTCATTTCCACATGAGTAAAAAATTAGAAAACACAAAAGAATAGAGGAAGCAAGAAAAAAAGAACATGTGAAGGATGAAAAGTAGAGTAAAAAAGAAAACCTGATAAAAGGAAATGGCAAAGAGATGGAGAAAAAGAAAGACAGGATTCAGTTTTAATACTCCTTTACCCCTTTGATTTTTTAAAATCAGTGAAGTTTTATTTAATATATTTTTTCTTTTGATGCATGAGGTATTCTTTACATAGGAAGGTAAGTAGATAGTATGATATTAATATATAGTGTGTTCATTTTTATTGCTTTTCCAATGACTGGAACAATAACAGAATTCTAAATGAGAGAAAACTGAATACATGACAAGTGCATTTTATAACAATGATAAAAATAATAGATGTATACATTCACAGTATCTACAGATACAAAGTTAAAGTAAAATTGTTCAGTCTTGTAGAAAAGAATGGTTCTTTTTGGACGGTGGGTTCAAGTGAGAAATGTTTTTTGTCTATGTATAAGTAGTGGTAATAGGGGTGACTTACTGGTTGCTGAAGTTGACCTGATTTGGGCTCCCTAATGTCTATGTTAGCCAGGTCATACCTGCTGTTGTGAGACATTTTCTGTCTGGCTATTTAGTTTGTTTGTTTTTTGGAGGTGGAGGGATTTGAAGGAATCTCTGGAAATTATAGAGTATTTCCATTGGTCAATAAATTATATGATGCATCATGTGTTTTGTTTTCTACTGTGTCTGAATTTAGCAACAGCAACTGTCTAAAAAGAGAATCAGGCACTAAACTTATATTGTATTTTAAATTAAGTTTATATGGCAGTGATTTAAGGTTTAAAACTAAAAATACATATAACAGAAAAATGTTTTAAAAATTTAAGAGAAAGAACTAAACAACTTACAAGTGCTTGTCTCTTTGTAAGCAAGGGAAACTTTAGACATTAATTGTGTTTCTACTGATGAAACCAGAACACCTGAAAAAATGAAAGAATTGATTTTAAAATTGTTCAATTAAGACAAGCAAGATTTCTCATAAAATCACAGATCAGAGAAAAGATAAATTCACATCATCGTATTTACTAAGTTTACTCTAACAGTAACGGTCATGTGGCTGAATAGTTAGAACATTCTGACCATGATTCAAATTTAACCCTGGTTGATTAATCAAGGAGGTGACTTCTTGATAATATTGACCAAGAGAAATGATCTCAGTATGCAGTACCATTGGGGAGTGCCCGAAAAAAAAAGAAGCCTTGTGAGTGAAACTGGGTAGACAAAACTGTTCAGAAACAATTGAGGGTTGTGCTAGCATGAATTTACAAGTTATCATGATTGACAATCTGAGTGTACTGAACTTGTTCAACTACTGATCACACCAGATTATGTACTCACAGAAAATGTAACTAAGGCACATTTTGCCTAATTGCAGTATAAACAGCAGGTTGCATGTTGATGAAATATAAATGTGCTTGAGCAGATGTTTGCAATAGGGATAAACTTGTTACACTAATTGGTTCCAAAATCTCCTGAAACTAAAAAATGGCTACTACTTAGTCTAGCATAAAGCCACAATATACCCCTTTTGTCACCCGATGGGGTAACCACATTTAGTGGTCCAGTCCTCAGGGTCTTAGAACAACGTTTTAACCATAGGGCTAACTCTGCACTGGTCAATGCTAATGCTGGTTCTAAGTGTTTGTTGGTTGCTGGCCAATTTAATCTACACCAACTCTGCTCACATTGTGTTCTTGATCATAGAGCAGTGGAAGATCAAAGATCATAGTAATTGCAGTGCTGATTCAGGCTGTAGCGGGTGCTATATTAAGGAAGAAAAATATCTTGACAATGAAAAATAAAATGAAAGATTTATGGGGTTAATTTTCAATTGGTTTATATAGCTCTTGGTACAATAAAAATTAACCTACCTGCATCAATATCTCTAGTAAAAAATGGGTCTCATCTAAAATTCTGGAGGAGCTGGGTTCAAAGTACTTTAGAATCAAGAAATCTGGTGGCAGCTGACATGGATTCCAGAGGCACTTAATATGGGATTCACACCCTGTCTCCAAACTCCCAAAGTCATCTGCTTATATGCACTTCAGCACAAAACTGGTATAGACAGAAGGGTTCTGAGGATTCGGTGATTCCTCAATCCTTATACCAATCCCAACAATATTTTTTTGTTCCCTATTTCTGATTTCTTAATCAATTTTCCAAATTTGGAGAATTATGCACCCTCCTTTGGAGCAGTCACAGAGATTGCTCCTCCCCTAACTCCAACCTGCTTCACTTCACATCTTGCATCACTACTCCATATAGGCAGCACTAAATTCTGCCTCTTCCTCCTTGGTATTTTAAAAAGTAGTTAAATGGGTCTCTGTTCCTCAGATGTCATTCATACAATACAAAATACTGCTTGTTCAATCTGCTGTTCTTGCATTCTGCACTCTTCACCAATGTAAAACCATTCTGCCTTCTCACTGCTTCAGCCCACCTTTATCAGGCCAACACTACAGCCGACTAACTAATCAGCGTTCTTTGCTTTTGTTTTCAGTTACTCTGGCAAATAGCCTCTTCCAGTCCAACCAATCAGCACACAACTTGTTATTGGTCGAACCATGCCAAGCTGTACAAAAAGCACATACTGGTGGAACAGTCCAACTGGAGATTAATGCCATTTTCAAGAAACAAAATGCCAATGTCACATGCCGCATATTGAGGTAAAACACTTATTTTTCCTTTGCACCAGATGTAAGCCATTCTGGCTCGCTTGCTTCTATGTGACTGTTCACCACACTCTGCCTACCTCTCAGGGCTAGCATAACTGTCTTTGTGACAAATCTCATTTCTAAAGTGCATATACAAAAAAGGCATAGTTTATTCTCATCATTAATTCCAATACTCTGATTCCTATTTTCCTAGAACTATCTTTGTTTGACCTTCTAAGCGAGGGATTAAATTGTTTCCCAATTTGTTTTTGTCAATGAAAATATATTTGCTTACCTAAATTCTTAAGAGACAAATTGTTCTCCATCCATGGGCCAAATGTTGTCTTAGCAAAATCACAAACCAGACTACCTGCCTGGTCAATTTTCATAACCTTGACCTTCACAGCAGGTTCATTCCAATTAATTTATATGCTAAATATATATATTTACATGCATATTTAGTGTTTTTGATGCTGATGATTAGGATGAATATTCCAGCCAGGTCCATGAAAAAAAACTCTGTCACAGTCTCGCGGTCCTTCTGTCGAGCAGTACACAAATTGCAAAGGCATTCTTGTAACTCCACATGTAGCTTCCAGTTTAATATAGTCCTAATTATACAAAGATCTAATGTTTTTGTTATATTTACCTGTTGCAAACACTTGCTCAGGCACATTTATATTTCTCAACACACTACCTGTAGTGGTGTAATTTAAGTATATTGGCGGGGGGGGGGGGGGTTATGGATTACTCTATATCCCTCTTTTTTTTCTTAAAAGTCCCTTCAATATGAAAGTTTGTCAGTAGGTTTAACATTGCAACTATATCTGGTGTAAACTGATGGGCTGGAGCCATTGGCAATCAGCTTTTCAATTTCACTTATTTGGGTTTCATGTTGGTCCCCTGATAATTCAACTGGACTTGGTGTCTCCGAGTAACTGACATCTGAAACAGGTCTTGATTGATGCTGCAATGTATTGGAAGTTTGTGGGTTGGTAACTTTTTTTGGTGACGGCTGTTCAGACCTTGTCTTAGGTGAAAGGTATTTTGTCATTGAATTTCACTGTCTTAATTAGAACAGACCGTGGTGAAGCACGTTTTACGACTGTTGGTGAAGTTTTTGGTGTTTTTACCAGACATAATATTTTCTTTTTCTAAATGCTGTAACTCTTCCTGGACTTTTTTCTTCATAGAAAGTGGCAAGCATCGCAAAGTTGCTATAGACATTGTTTGCACAGACTATTTTAAACATATTTTATATATATTCTGGAGTCTGCCAATGTCTGTGAAAAGTTCTAGAAATTCTTTTCTATATTTGTGGTATTCACTTTTTATAGAATTCATCCTCCTCAGTAGGTTAACAGCTTTTATTCCTGGTGTCCCTAGTAATGGTTCCCTCAAATTTTCAATAACAAACAAATCCTGTTTAAACTTTGCTTCTGGAGTTTCTAATAAAGCCTCTACATGACCGATAACTTTTATTTGGTAGTAAGTTGGTCCATACATTTGTTTGTTACATTTTTAATATTTGGGGAGGTTTTTGCTAAAATAACTACTAGGAACTACAATTTTTCATTAGTAAATATAGTTTTCACTTAATAATAATATCACCTAACCGGATTAAAATAATACAGAATTTTAAATGATTTATATATTAATTGAAATTTTAAAAAAAAAAAAAAAATGAAAACAATTCTTTATTCAGCAAAAAAAATTTTTTATTAAGACAATAGTCTTTAATAAATTTTATCTATAAAAGCAATTCAAAGCTTTTCTAATTAAATAATGTTATAGTTTTATTACATTTTTTATTTCACGATTTGCTGAAATTTTCGCGAAATGAACGATAGTTTGAAAAAAAACTTACGATTTACAAGGAGTCCTGATTTTAAATAATAAAGAAAAATTTGGAATTAGAATTTAATTTTGAGATTAGAATTTAATTTCTTGAAATTTCATGAAATTAAGTAATGGGGTGGGAGGGGGTAATAGATGTAAAAAAAATATATTTTTTACAAAGATTTTTTTTTAAAAAATTAGAAAAATAATTTTATTCATTTGTGAAGTCCTGAAAATTTCATTAAAATCCGACAATTTTGATTTTTGCAAGAATTTTCAAATCAATGTTTTTTACTTAGAAAAAAAAGGCACTAAAATCTAAAATAAAACCTATTACGTAAAAAGAAAATTAAGTGCGCAGTAATTTAGACGAGTAAGATCAGTTAAGAAGTAAGACCGTTAATTAAGCTTCCGCGCGCAAAATGTTCCGCAGTGAATGTAGTTAAACAAGGACAGTAATGGCCGACGGATGAATGCAACCGAGTCAGAAATTTTATTTTCGATAACTCCTAAACTATAGATTTTATCAAAATTTAATTATTTTCGAATTAAGCATGTAAATTTACACCTAAATATAACGATTCCAGAATTTTTTTAATAGATATTTAGCGCGGGGCTTAAAAAGCAAATTACCCAAAGTACTTTAACCAAAATTTCGAACGTGCTAGAAAGGATTTAAAAAAATGATTAAAACATCCTTTGCTCTTTCCGCTTAATAACTTAATAATAACAAACATTTTGACGATAAAATTTTGTTCGTGGGTCTTTTTTTATCATGCTATGCTGTTTTTTCAGCAAAAAAGTGAAATAAAAAAAAAAATCATTAGGCTGGAAACAAAGTTTCTGCACAATTTTATATATTTTTTGTAATAAAAGTTGTGCGGGAACTTTGCTTCCAAATAAATAAATAAATATCCACTTGATCTCATTTTGTTCGTCATGAAAACGAATAATGACATACGATGATCTTTTTTTTTTTTTCTACAAAAATTAAACAACAAAAATTTTAACACTGCAAATTACCCAACTTCAAATGTAAAAAACAGTAATATTTTAAAACTTAAACTATTTTATTTTTAAGTTCTGCAAAGAAAAACTTGTGAAGCACTTAAAAAAAAGTGTCAATTTTGATAATTTTAGTACTACATCCGGTAAAATTTCAGAGAACATTATTATTTAATTTAAATCGAATATTGATTAGTTATTCTAGTATAAAATCTTAAACTATCAAATTCATACGCTAAACCAGAGTAAGATTTTATAATGTCTCGTTAAACAGAGCAAAATTGTGCAGTTAACCTAACGCACTAATAAACTAAACATTTTTTTACCAAGTTTCCTTTGTTGTTCTTCTTCTTCTTCTTGCATACTTATAGTAGTGAGTTGTTTATCTTGCTGTTGATTCTCCATGATGACATCAAGATTTGGTTACTAACTTACATTGAAGAATGATATATTTTTTGTCTTTTACTAAATTTTCTATTGAAATAATGTCATTTATTTATCCATTTATTATTTTCCAACAAAAATTCTCGCATAACCAGATTTGTTTCCCGCCATCGTTCGTATTGAGTGCCATTGTTAGGTGATAAAAGTTATCTCCCTTCCATTGAAAACAAAATCGCAAGTTTCCGTTTTATTTTTGTATTGAGAATTTTTTGTTTGTATAAAAGAAATTGAAACATTTATTTCAGAGTTAGTTACTTTCATGCAATCGATATTGATGTATGAATGAATCTCTTAACAGACAAACAAATTTATTTAATCCTTCTAATCAGAGAAAAAACTAAAAAAAATTTCACATTTTAAAAGCAAGCATGAAATAATGAAGATTTTTCACTCATTTTCAGATTTTAAAACTTTTAAATTACTTTAATACTCTAGATTATTCGAATGGGATATTCTTGAATGTTCCAATAATGTTATCCGTAGTTATTTATAGCCTAAAAAATAGAAATAGAACATTCTGTAATTGATATTTGTGCAAGGTTTTCATCATGGCAAGAGGTAAAGAACTGACAAATTTGCAAAAATAACTGATTGTTAAGCTCTGGAAAAAATGGTAAAACTTAGAGGAAAATCTCAGACAACTTGAATATTCCATTTACTACCATTACTTCATTCATTGCAAGGTGTAAAAATTTCAGAACTTTTGAAAATCAAAGAAGAACAGGTGCTCCATGTAAGATTTCTTCAAGATCTTCAAGGAAATTAATGCTTCAAATTAAACAAAATCCAATGGTTACCCATCAAGAGTTGCAAGATGAATTGCTTTCATCAGGAATCTGTGTCACTAAATGGACAACAAGCAATGAAATTCATAGGAACAATCTAAATTCATGCTCCCTTCAGAAAACTCCACTGCTATAGAAAAGACATAGAGATGTCAGATTGAAATTTGTTCATGAACATAAGGATAAGGAAAAATCATATTGGAAAAGAGTATTATGGACAGACAAAACCAAAATTGAGTTGTTTGGACATAATTCTAGAAATCATATATAGAGGAAAGATGGCAATGCCTTCAAACATAAGAACACAGTTCCAACAGTGAAATTTGGTGGTGGCAGCATCATGTTTTGGGGATGTTTTTCTACAAAAGGTACAGGCAACATATCAGTAACAGATGGCAGAATGAATGGCACAGCATATCAAAATATTTTGGAAGCAAATTTAATGATTTCAGTTGAAAATCTTGAACTTTCTCCTAATTGGATCTTCCAAGATGTTTCTAAGCACACTGCAAAATCTACAATAAATAATAAAAAGGAATAATGTACTGTCGGAGTTAACTCCTCCTTCACTTCAGTCCGTTAATCCTTTCACCAGGGGTCTCTCTTCCCTGGCTAAAAATAGCTGCTGACTCTTGGCCTCTTTCTCTTTTTCCTCCAGGCCTGTGCACTGACACCTTGAGGTAAACTCTCTTATTCCTAGAGGATTTTCAGCTATCAACCTCGAAATGTAGTCGCTAACAAGGGATAGCGTGGAAACACGCTAAGCACAATATTCACACACGCACGCACACACAGAATATTCACACACGCACGCACATACAGAATATTCACACACACTTCGTCCTTTGTACTGTTTCCATGTATTGTAACTTGTTATTAATATAGATTTGTATATACATCTTGTTTTGTTTGCTTTCTTTACCTTCTACTTGATTATTTCTCTTGTTGTTGTCTTTGTTACATTTGATATTGTAAAAATTGTAGAGGGTCAGTTTTTATTTCTATTTATAACCAATACAAATTGGCTGACCCACTATAGTACATATCCTAAAATGGCCAAGTCAGACCCCAGATTTAAACCAAATTGAGATTCTGCGGTGTTATTTGAAAATTCACATCCAATCAAGAGTTCCAACAAAAATATTGGATCTGAAGACCATGTGCTAAGAAGAATGGAACATAATACCAACTAAAACTTGTAAATAATTGAGAACTACAAAACGTTGGTTGCTGTAGAAGTGAATAATGGCATGGAAATTATTTTGTTTTCGGTAAAACTCAGGTACCATCCGAGACAAAAAAATATAATTATATTTTTTATATTTTATATCATTAACTTTACTAATCTACTTTTATATGAATGATTCATTGTAATATAAATTGAAATGCACCACATATTTGATTTAAAAGAACTGATCTGACATGCAAATTTTCGGAATAACAACTGAGACATTACTCTATTTATTGAACTATTTAGTCCATGCCACATTGACTGATAAACTCCTACAACAAAAAAATTCTCAAGTTGCCATATTAGTAAAAAGCGCACTCTTAAATTTTCAAAAAAAATTAAACCTTAGCATTGCGACTGCACGCTCCAAAAGTTTGTATCCGTTATCAATAACACATTTAAAAAAAAACATATTTCAATTCACATTATATCTTTTCGTCTCAGATGCCACCTGAATTTTACCAAAAACAAAATAATTTTCATGCCTGAAGATGACTGAATGTACAGGCGAAAGTACTTGTGTATTAAAGAAAGACATTATACAGCTTATAATTTTTAAAAACAAGGATCATAACATTCATCGAGTGATTTGTAGGTAGTGCACCTTTAAAATTTTGTTACCGAAGGGATTTCACCATTTTATATCATTAACTTTACTAATCTACTTTTTGTATGAATGATTCATTGTAATATAAACTGAACTGCACCACATATTTGATATATATATATATATATATATATATATATATATATATAATAATAATGAATTTTCCATGATTATTGAAATCATATTTTCTAATGAATATATATATATATATATATATATATATATATGAAGAAATATAGTTTTAAGATGTGCTATATTTATGGGGTAAAGTGCTCAATATCAGAGATAGAGCATATGTAAATATAAAAGTGAACATCAACGTCAACACTCGGAGGTAAAAGGCTATGATTTGTACTACTGGTCCCTTTCTTAGATCATAGTAATAATATATATATACAACGTAATGGTGTCTCCATGGGTTCAGTACTGGGTCCGACATTTAGCAATTTCTACATGTCGAACCTCGAAAATAAGATATTTACTGATGTTAAAAAACCTTCCATCTATCTAAGATATGTTGATGGTATCCTTATTTTAGTTAAAAATACAGACGAAATACTTCAACTTCAAAAACTTTTTCAAGATAATTCTGTCCTTAAAATCACATATGAACTCAATACTAATAATAAAATTCCCTTCCTTGACATATAGATAAACACAAATAATAACAAATTTACTATTTCGCCATACAAAAAAAGCTACCAGCATAAATTTATGTACACTTAACTACAAAAGCGGATGTCCATATTACTACAAAATAACAATTATAAAAAATCTAATACAGATTTTTTACAGTAAACTAAAGAATATAAAACAAGCACTTATTAATAATAGCTTTCCAAACTATATAGTTGATGAACAAATAAGATGCTTTCTTAGAAATCTTAATACTATGCAAATAGAACATAATACTGCTTCAACTAATTCCAAACATATTATCTCTTTTACGTAATCAAATGCATACTAATTATAAACAAGATGAAAATATACTAAAAAAAAATTAGTAAATACTAATATATCCGCAACAGACCCTAACAAAAAAATTAGGTTAATCATATACTACACTAAATCTAGTATATCTAACTTATCTATACACAATGATTCTCCCCCTCCCACACTCCCTATTAGCAATTTGCAGAAAACCAACATAGTTTACAAATTCAAGTGCCCTTTGGGAGATTGTATCTCCAACAGATTAAATAATATTTATGTTGGTCACACCACAAACTCGCTTTCACGGCACTTGACTCTACATTTAAATGATAACTCTAACATTTTTAGACATTTAAAACAACATGCCCGCCCGCATACTCAATTCCAGAAAATCCTTGTTGACAACTATAATTAAACATAAAAACAATAAACAAAAATTAAAAAATCTTGAAGCTTTATACATAAAACAGTTGAAACCTAACCTGAACAAAATAAACTATGAAATCTCCACAAATATCCTTAAATGCCTATAATTTATAACAGAAGCCATTGGTTTATACCAATGGCTTCCCATACTTAATACTTCTCATTTTTCACTCTCGCGTGTTCATGTGTGACATCACGAGCTGCAACATGATTTTCACTTCTGCGTCTCGTATATACGAGTTTGTCGTTACTTGAAATTTTCATGCAACAAGGGTGGACTATCATTGTTGTTTCGTCTTTCAACGATAATGTGATTAAGCTTATCAAACAATGTGAAAGGAACTTAAAATAAATAGACAAAACTTGTCTATATTATTTAATGAAACATGTATTAATATATATATATATATTTAAAATTGTAAAGTATAGATTAATTATTAAAATTTCCTTAATATTATCTAAAAACACTTTTTCTAAATTTTTAAAGATTGTATTTCCTTATGTAATTTCTCATTTTGAACAAGTTAACATGTTAAATATAGGTCAAGGTCAGCCCATGTCTAGACAAATTTGGAAATTGTTCATCTTAATTTCTCTCCTTTAATCATTTACTCTATCCCCCTCCCAAATTTCTTTTTTTTCTCTCTCTCTCTCTCTTTATCTTTCTCTTCCTTCTTTTTTAAATACATTTGCTCTTAGTTGTAAATTTCCCTCCTGTAAATTTCTGTTTCAAGGTATTGTTATGGCTTTCTTCAACTCATAACCCATACCCACACACAATCTACATTTAATGACCCATATCACTTTCCCATTTTTCCAATAATATAACATGTGAACTCCCCCTCTCTCTTTGGATATAGCAGTCGCTGAATGCAAAGACAATTAGGTCAAAAGGGACTGATGACCACAGCAACAGGTGGGAACCAAGGTTAAAAACAGATTTTTACATGTGACGAATCACAAATACAAATACAAACGA